AGCCTATTTGCAAAATTAGAGTAAACAAAGAGATAGAGAAAAAAAGAGAGTAAAAAAAAAGGTATGATAAAAAATTTTCAAAATGAGCGATGAATTTCTTTTTAAGTAATTCAGATAATTTGTAAAAGTATTTCACTAATTGACATGTGTAAAAATAACAAATACATGAAGCGGTTCATGTTCAGAATTGGAGTGCGACAGTAATGGCATTTATGAGTTCTATATCAGCCATGAATCTTTTGCTCATACATCGAAAGCATATCAAGGGAATGATATTGATGCTATCAGAAGTCAAAATTAAATTCATTTTTGCTATTAGTAAGCTACTTGTCTTTATACCAGTTTTGCAATAATTTAAAAAGAGAACTAGCATGAAAAGATTAATTTCAATTAATCAAATCAATAATATTTTGACATGCAGATGTATTAGTATGTTTATTCGAACTTATTTGCAGATTGCATACTGTCTGTACTGTGTTTTGGTGGAGTCATCGTTTGCCTTATACTTGCTGCTATTTGGCATCAAAATTTAACACGTGAAGGTTTGATGAACGAAAACCTCTGGATAACAGCAGTTTGGTTTTTTATGACATTTAAATGGTCTACACTTTCGGTCTGGTATATCTATCGCTATTCCTCCCAAGTAATCATTCGAAATTTTAAAAAAGTGTAGAGTTAGAAAATTTCTGGTTCAGGAAAGAATTAAGAGAGAAGGAAAAGGAAGAAGATCGGAGTATTTGTTAATATTTATGCTGATTAATATCTAAGTTATAAATTACACTAAATTTTAAGTAATAAAATTTAACAAATATCAAAAAGCAGCTAGAATTATCTACGTTGAATATTTTCAAATGAAGTTTATGATTTCTTATTTCTTTCTCTAACCTCCTATATTAAATAATTTTCCTTCTTTTTTGAGTTCTTTCTTGGATAAAGTTGGAATGTAAGGCTTGAAGTTATTTTGCATAAATTTATAAATTCTGAACTGAATTAAATGGAAATTTTTCATTTTGAAGAATAAAAGATGTTGCAGTTGGGTTGTTCAAGCAAGACTTCTGATGTAGGTTTGAGCATGGAGAATAGGATGAAGTGTTTTTTAAAGGAAATTTCTGTGATTGGAGATGATTTGTTGAAAAAGGATGAAGTGTGACGAGTGCACGGCATGCAAGCTGTGCATTTGAACTTATTATACTCTGAAACATTGCAGGAATATACAGAACATCTGTCGAGCTAACAAGTGGATTTATGTGTGCACTTATGATTGCTACTATTCATTTCATTCTATTGTTTTTATTTCATCTGTTTATCAATACCTTATGCTGCAACTATGTTGCAATTTTATTTGTAAACTATGCTATGCTACAATTAGATGAAATGAACCTTAAAAAAGTCCTCCGTGTTTTTGATGTTCTATGGACAAATTGTTTATAAAAAGTATGCATTAAATTGTAGCATAGTTGACATTAATGTCAACTATGCTACAATTAGATGAAATCATTGTATAATTCAGTACAACTTTTCAATTTTCTAATTTTTCATAAAGCTAATCCTACATTTGTCAAGTTAAATCATGAATACCGTTGAAATGCATTGTTTGTAAAAAGTATGCATTAAATCGGGCATTTTGTAATAACCACAAGGATTATGTAATTATTCATTTCATTGATAACATCATTAGCTCATTATGGGAGATCAATACTTAATGGATCAATTTGTGATTATCATGTGATTATTGATATTAATATCGAAATAAATAGATGATATGTGACATATTAATGTTTAAAAGAGTTTTTTGCACAAAGTATCTTGCGCACAATTATATTTTGCAGATGCAAATTTAACCAGTAATTTGAAGATATAATCATCTTCAGCATATGGAAGATTTGGAAACACATAATTGATTGACAATTCCAATTGCTGAACACCCATATTACTTTATTTGATGAGCTGTAAATTTTACAGTCCTGATTTTATTGATGCGATTGAATACTTTGAATATTTTTCAATTAAATTAAATGAAAAAAAAAAACAGTTATAGAAATATAAAACAACTATTTCATATAAAATGTGCTTTGTTGCAAACAATGCTATCTTCTACGAAACTATAATCAATTCAGATGCCATCTTCAACATACATATGACATTTACATTTCGAAAAATATTTCAACGTTTCATGATATACCTTGCGTTGAATTATTAAAATCGTCATGGCATGTGCTATGGGATAGTACCTTACAAACGAAAAAATAAACATGTTCACCTGATTGGGATTAAAAAAAAGACAAGAATGATTGCAAATTTGAGAGCGATAATTTATGAGTTGAAATAAAGATTCTTGAACATCGAGAGAAATGGATCGATCGATGATGTATTTTTATTCTTAAATTCGGTATTTATTAAAAAATTTTTCATAGATCATGTTGAGAAAAAACGAACAGACAAAAAAACTTTTTGACGGCAATTTTTTGTATCAAAAATCCTTCATTGTAACTACAGTGATTCTGCAAAAATGAAAAAAATCCTCGAGAAATCCAATGGATGCAATTATCATAATTATCCCACAATGATTTTAAGAAGCTATAATAAATTTTCAAATCGAATGAGGCATTTGAAGAATTTAATTAGGTACTTTGCGGAACGAAATTTTGATTTTGATATTTAATAAAATTGGAACTTTACATTCCTCATATTCTTAAAACAATTATTTATCATAGTATATCATTTCTCAGTATCAGAATCGATTAAATCACCAGGTCCCTGAAATAAAAAAAATTTTATTTCAGATTTAATTTCTCACATTCTTGCTCATATCGAAATAGTACTCTACAAGTTAATTATTTCATTAATTTTTTGATTTTATTTTTAGAATTCATTCATTTATAGTTGCGACAAGTAAAAAAGGAACATTTAATTCTACTAATATAAATGTAACTTTTTTTTACTTTTCATAACAGACTAATCATTTCATGTTTTGAAATTAATTTCTAAAGAAGTTTTAAATTTTATGACTCCATACAGATCCATCTTTGACGTTAGCTAATACCTTATTAGTCTCACCTAACACGAAAGACATACACTATCATTGTAATTCTATAACTTAAATGGAAAATTTTACTTGAGCGATTTTTTCATCGAGCATTCGAAAGAAATCAATCTGGCTTGTGCTTTCAATTTGACTAAAAATTATTATTTAGCATTTTATTTAAATAATAATGTTTCAAGGAAATTCAAGTCAAATTTTAGAAAAAAAGATTTAGAATTTTATTACAGAATTTTTTCAAAGTTAAAAATTTTTAATCTTCAGAAATTGTTCAGAAAAATTTGTTTAAATCATTAAAAATAACCTTATTGGTTTATTGACATAAACAGTATTGGATTCCTGAACCTCTTTAATTGATGATATTCTGAAATTGATTTTTTAACAGCACGTCATTAAATCACCTCCTTATTTACTCTTCCATCCATTTCTAATCAAAATCAAAGTTATCAAACAAGAAAAAAAAATTAAGAAATTTAATTTATATATAAATGGAATGCTTCCTAAATTAAGAATTGATATTATCATTGGAGAGCATTAAAATGAATCATTTAAGAGCATTGAATCTCAATTCAAATCAAAATTTTTCGAGCTAAATTCGATAAATGTAAGGCTTATTTTGTTAAGCTATGATGCTTAAGATAATAAAGCGCAAGCGCAAGTGTAACAACTTGAGCCTCAGAAAAATGAAAGGAAAAAAACTTGATATTTATAATTAGAATTCAATGTTGCATTTTGATGAAGATTGCTTTTTTTTTTTCGAAAGAGGTTGTAGGAATATTGAAGTGTAATTGAAGTATGAGAAAAAAACAAAATCTAACTAACGATTAAAATGAAAAATCCATTGAATCGTAAATATCATTGGTTAGATGATTAAAACTAATTTGTGATTCTAAAATACCATTCGATAAAGGATTTCAATTAATGGTTTAAAATTAAATTCATAAATAATAAAAAAATTTTACTTTGGTTTAGGTGCAGTTCGATTACAGAAAGTTGATCGAATCGACGTATCCCAATGTGCTAATGAATAAGCACTTTTAATACAGTCAATAGGAGTGGTTATCATTTCACGATCACTACTGTTAACACTTTTGTCGGATGCTGTGGTCGGATTCAGTACTCCTTTTGTATTCGATGTTACTATCGATTGAGAGCGAACGAGATTTTCGGTAGTGCCCAATAATGGTCGAGTTATAGCTCTAGATGCTAAATCGGTTGAGTCGAAAGTAATTTCCGTCCTTTTATCATTCGTTCTCGAAAACCGACATCCCATATCATTCTTTGTGAGCTTTTAAATATCACTGTAAGTGATAATATCAAAATTTAACAAAACTTTTCAATAAAAATTCTTACAGCTTCTATTAATTAAATTATAAGAAATGATGAAAGATTTCTGTTAAAATTTGCACGATAATAGGAAATGATAGAGGATTTCCGGTAAAATTCACCGATACGAGAATATTAGCAGGAATACTTTAATCATTTTAAAATTCAGTTTGCTTTTCTACAAGAATAGGGTCTTTTGCTCTTTTTTTTTTGTTGAAAATTCTAAAATGATCATTTATTATCCTGTTAATTCCAATTATTTTAATTGTTATAAAATTTTTGGTTGGTAGAAATTTTAACAAACAGATCGATAAATTATAGTTGGAAAAGATCGATGAATTTAACAGTGACATTTTATTGAGTGTTTTTGCTTGCTTAATTATAATTATGTTTGATAGAAAGAAAGCGATGAAAGAAGGAAAGGATGAAGAAAAAGCGTTACGAAGGATTTTTCATTTCATTCGAGAAAGTGTTTTTTGTAATTAATTGTCAGGCATCAATTTGCAAATGGGCATTAATGGATGCTGAAATAGATTAAGGGTTAGAGAAATTTGTTGGGATAATTTGTGTTTCAGTTATTGAAAACTTGAAATAGTTTTCAAAAAATCAGTACTAAAAAATAGTTTGAATTAAATATAAAATATCGAATGGAATAAAATTAAAGTTTAATGAGGTTGAAATTATGAAATAGATGACAAATGTCCGATATGTCAAATTGATAAATCTCGCAATTCCTATTCGAAATTGAAGTAGGAATTCGAATTTTTATGAATTGTATGAAATTGAAACGAATTTAATAAGTATGGGACGTTCATCAAATGATGGAAATTAATTAATGATAATTGATGATGAATTTAAATTTAAGTGATTTTCCTTTTTTTTTCTTGAATTTGAAACAGGAAGTTTAAAAAAAAAATGATATATGATAACTCAATAATAATAAAACTATTTGTCAAACATTTTTTCCGATGTACGCATGCAAAAAAACTTACAATCGAAAAAAAAATTTTGTGAAAATTAATTCGATTTAATTTGATTTATTTAAAGCTCGCACTTAATTTGACCTATCTTAAAGTACCAATCCAACTTATTTCTCCTAGCATTCATTTCTAAAAGAATGTAAAATTGTTGCTGTTCTCATAAAAATTGATAAAATTTATAATCTTTTTTGGCCTGTTAGGAAATTTTGAATGAAATTACCGAAAATCATTTCCCCTTGAAATAATTTTTTTTTTTTTGTGAGGAATCAATTAATAAAAAACCAAAATTAGTCAACATAATCAAATAAAATAACATACTAACATTAAAATATTTCCGAAGAAAAAATAAACTAAACGACTATTAGAAATATGATAAAACATGTCGATAAAATAAAATATTAAAAAAGAAGTGTAACCATGAGCTAATATCATAATCAAAGCTATAAGCTTATCATAATAAACCATACCTAATTCAGACAACAAAACAAAACCGATGTACAGATAAAAGAAAATTATTATATTAGTATTAGTACTAGTAAGAGTGCCTTAACAAGACTTACAATCATGCTGATTACATAAACAAAAGCAAAAAAGCTATACTAATCAAAATTAAAAAAAATAAAAAATAAAAAATTAAAAACTAAAAAAAAACTCAAAGACACACCCATTTAGCTTCAACATAATGCCGGCTAAAATTATATTAGTACTGGTAAATGCATCAACATGAACTTTAGGCAACCAAACATGAATAAGAAAACTTAATCAAAAAACATAAACTAAGCGAAAAAACAAACTCATAAAACATGAAAAATCATTATAAACAAAACTTAAAAAAAAAAACAAAAAACACGCCTATGCAAAAACAAATAGGGCATACCAAAAAACAAACTATAAAATAATTAAATAATAATAACAGGCGCTAATCTTCTCAACTTGCTGACTATACCCTAACAAACAAAACAATACTGGAATTATAATTAATTCATTAAAGAAAACATATAACATCAAAAAACAACCACAGTAAAAAAAAAACAATAAAACAACTATAAAAAACCAACCTCACTCAGCAATTCAGACACACAAATAAAACTCAAAACAAAAGCACTCATAAAAGACAACAAAAACGAAATTAAAAAAATCAAAGAAAAATAAAAAAGATTCATCACCAAAAGAAATCTAAAACCATATATAAAACAAAAAATACGAAAAATAAATACCAACTAAAAAAAACAACAAAACAACAAAAAAAAAAACTCAAAAACAAATTATAAAAAATCTCCTAATTACAAATTAGATATTCTAACTTAAACTAAAATAGCACACTAAAAAAAGAAAGAGAAAATACTAATACAAAACAAAACACAAGCAAAATAATCATAATACTTCTAACGGCACATACTTGTTGTGAAATAAATTTTAAAAAATCACAAAATTTATGAGAATCCTTTGAGCGATACTTCAGCATGAAATTATTTGAATTTAAAATATTAGAATAAATATATGATGAAGTTAAGAAAAGTTAAGAGTAGTCGATAAAAGGTCAAGTTAGCATTATACCAAATAATAGCTAATTTTCACTTCTATCTTATTTTACATTTGTTTTTTTTTTCCCCCCGGAAAAAGTTATCTGCCCAAATGTCAATATTTTTTGGTTTCGTTTTTCTTTTACTTCGATTTAAAAAGAACAACAACAAAAAAAAATTAGCAGGCTATTGTTATTTGCGTAATATAAAAGAGAGAGCAGAAGAAAGAAACTGGGAGAGAATTTTTGAGAGACCTAAACTCAAGGCTCAAATTTAGCCTTGAGTCTAATGCCTAACTGCTTATCTTCTATCTTTTAAACAATACAAATGAATGAATAAAAAGAATTGAAAATGATGGTAGCATAGGAACAATAAGATATTATACATATATGAACTTAGATCAGAGAGATAGCATTTTGCACTCAAAAAGTTTCTGAATGTATTTTAGGCATATGTGCTCCTCCCCTCCCCCCTCCCTATAAGTGTTTAATCCTTTATATGAATTCATAAATCCTCTTTCTTTTAAGCCCTATGCTCTGAACTCTAAGCTTTAGGCTCCAGGCTAACTATGATTATCTCAAAATAACTGCAAAATTATCTCTACAAATTTCAATACATTCATTTATGTCTATCAAAATTGTAAACAAAAATTATATGACAAATGAGGTGACATTTAAAAGTTTTTATAATCCTATAAACACTGTATCAT